GTTCTCAAATTGAGTTTGGATCATTTGTAGCTTGGATTGCTTAATAGATGTATTTCCTTCGTGATGATCACATAGTATATCCCATGCAATCTTTGTTATACCAGTGGTGGCAATTAGTTTGAATGTTTCTTCACTCACGGCTCCATAGATGGCTTTTGAATTGTAATTATATCCCCTTCGTTCTTCTCCACTCCAGTTTGTTTTAGGTTTTCAATTACCTTTATCATTAACTGGATTTTTCTATTCTTTCTCAACGACTCCCCAGACTCCTTCACCTTGTGCTAATATGTATATTTTCATCCTAGCTTTCCAGTAGGAGAAATTTGTACCAATATTAGGGCAGGGGCCCTGATATTTGACAGTCCTTCTCTGGGAAACTCCATTAGGATCCTGCTAATAACTTAAGCAGTTTGGCTCTGATACCAATTGAAATATGTAAAACGCAGCAGTTGTAACACAAGGAGTTGGTAACGCAGTTCGGGAAAACCCTAGTCTGCGAGGCATTTCTCAATTTGAGAATTTGCCTAAATCCACTAAAAGCTCAATATTTAAAGTACACAGTTTGGAACCTGAGATTACACAATAGAATGATCTTTCCTACCAAACTATTGTAACATAAACACATGTACTATTTTCTAGGGGAATTTAGAATACTCTCAAAGACTCTCAGACCTCACAGAATAAGTTAGGGAATTCACCCCTCATAGTGATCAGATGAGAGGCCTTTATATAGCTAACTAATCCTTATACACCCAATAGAAGTATAATTCCTACTTTGTTTAGGTTTTGGATCTATATTCTTTATGCTTATCCTTTCTGAACTAGGATCCCTTTTTGCTAAAAATTTTGACTAAACTCCTTGAGTCAACAACTGTAACACTAATTGTCAATAATGATGATAAAAGACAATTAATGACTTGCCTTGGCCCAATGGTAAAAACTGTTGGATCAAAGATCTCTTGTTAATGACAATATTGACTTGGGATTTACCTCTATTGAGAGACATTTTTATTTATGAGGATGTGGAGCAGATTAGTATAATCCAAATTAGCCCCACGTACGACGATTCATGGTATTGGTATGGGAACCCAAAGGGATGTTACACAGTGAAAAATGACTATAGATGCATTAGGGGTGATTTTGTTGAGACCAGTGATGCTTTTAACAAATGGTCAATATAAGTATGAAAATTTAAAGTCCTCAAAAAATGGAGGACCTTTCTATGAAGAGGAATTCTCCTTACTACTACTAACTTAATAATGAAGAGAGTGGATGTGAGTTCGTTATGCCCCATGTCTAGAACCTATTATGAAGATATTATGCATGCCCTCTTCTGGTGTGAGTTCTCCAAGCGGGTTTGGCATGAATCAGTCATTCATCTTCCAAGCGTGAATGGGGATTCCTTCTCTTCTTGGTTTAATAATGTATTGGAGGTGGAAAATGGCGACACATTGGCTGTGATGGTGACAGTTCTATATGAGATTTGGATGTTAGAATAATTTTTATTATTCCTAGTATTTTTATCCGTGCGATGCATAGAATGAATTTGTTAAAATATTTTAAGAATATTTGGATTGATATACAATTATATAAATTATAACATTGAATATTATATAATGCAATTGAATAATTGAGTTGTATCGACTATATTTTCTGATGTTATCATTGCTTGAATTCGAGTAAATAATTGCCCAATTAATAGCCAATGTGTAGATATACACATTCGGTGCTGAAACTTTAGAGATCTTATATATTAGTGTTTATGGTTTGTATTAAGTGGCAAATTTGCCCATTGTCTAGCAACTCAGTTATATAAATCATTTGATATCCTAATTTATTTGTATGGAAGATATATTTTCTGTGTAGATGAGGTGATATGATACACAGATTCAGATTTTGCCGGGTGTTTGGACACATGGAAGTCTACATTTTGATATTTATTCCTTTTAACCGAGGGGGCTATCTCTTGGAAAAGTGCGAAGCATATTATCATTGATACGTCCACTATGGAAGCTAAGTTTGTGGCATGTTTTATGGCCACAAATCATGGATTGTGGCTACGGAATTTTATTTCGGGACTTGGAATTGTCGACAGTATTGCCAAGCCGCTGAAAATTTATTGTGATAATGCTGCAGCAGTCTTCTTTTCTAAAAATGACAAGTATACAAGTTGGGCTAAACATATTGATTTGAAGTATCTTGTCATTAAAGAAGATGTTCGGGAATGAAGAATATCAATTGAACATGTTAGCACTAGATTAATGATTGCGACCCATTAACTAAAGCCTTGCCACCAAAGGCATTTCATGAGCATGTTTTGTTGAAAGAATGGGCATTATTGGAAACCGTTAACATTATGTTATGGTTTGTGTTTTGATATATTTGATACTTAGAGCTCAATATAGTTTCGTTTATGTATTAAGTATCATGTTTAGTTATAATATATATATATATATATATATATATATATATATATGAATAAAATATGGAGTAAAAGACATTTTTGGTCCTAGACTTATAGTGGCACAGGCAATTCTAGTCATTTTTAAAAAAATCAGACAATTTGTGGACACTCTTATTGTGACGAGGACAATTTTGGTCCTCCATCAATCTTCCCATTAGATGCTCCATTTGAGAAGGGGTAATTTTGTTTTTTCAGCCCTAAGTATTTTTCCTTTTTTCCTAGTTATTTTTTTCTGCCTCACAGTCTCTCTGCAGTTTCTCTTTCTCTCTCTCCCTCAAGGAGTTTTCCTGCAGCCACTATCTTCATCCCTTCTCTCTCTCGACCACCCAGCAATGAACCAGTGGCGTAGCAGCTTCAGGGACCTCCGCCATCACCTTCTCGTCCTCGGCTTCTTTAGTTTGACGACCTGCAGCAGGCGATGACGGCAACACCCAACAGCAGCGACGCTCCACTTCGGAGAAGTGGCAGAAATGGCGGCAGTTCCGGCGTGGTGTTCCTCTGACGGCGTGGGGTTTGGTAGTAACGAAGGTGAGGCATTGTTTTACTGTTCTCGAATCAAGAGATCCGATGTGCACTTTGCCTCTAATTGGAAGGATTTTCTGAAATTGAGCCCTATTTCTTATCAAACTAAACAACCGATCAGAGCCTTCCACAAAATTGCGTATGAAGCTTGAAAACGCCGGTGATCTTTCGGCCCCACCATTGTAGAAATGTTCTTTTTCCCATCAGTTGCTCGAATAAGGCACTTATATTCAATTTTTTCACCAGCACTCTTCAGTTTATTATGCTTGGCTTTAGATTTAATTGAGGAATGGGTCTAGTTGTAAACGTACCATCACTGTAGAATAAAGATAGAGAACATGAAGATAAAGTTAGCAATCAACACCGGCGTGGAATCTTCTGATGAATTTTTTTCCAGGAAGAAGTAATTCCATCTACAAACACCAAATTGAATTTTGTTATCTACTGGATATCTTCGACGTCGCTCGCTCTCAGCTCCTCAATATTATCTCTCCGCTCTCTCTTAGATTCTTGATTTCAATTAGCTTTTCTTTCTCTGTTTCTAAAGGTTTTTAGTTTTGACAAGCCTATTACTATTACTATTACTATTACTATTATTATTACTATGACTATGACTATGACTATGACTATGACTATGACTATGACTATGACTATGACTATCACTATCACTATCACTATGACTATGACTATCACTATCACTATCACTATCACTATCACTATCACTATCACTATTATATGGCTCATTATTATTATTATTCTATGACTCATAAATATCCATTTACTTATATTTAATAATAATAATGATATAATTCTATTATTGGTCAGTTAATGATAAATAACAGTTTCAACTGCTCATGATAACTTCTCAAGTTGATGAAACATGAGATAGTTTTTTTAATCATTCTGAGACTCTGATCCTCCCCCAAATATTCCGAAAAACTAAACTCTCTCCATCTGAGTTCATAGACTAAGAAAATACTGGAAGGTTTGGAGGGAGAAACCACGGAAAAATCATGGAAACATGTCAATTAAGTACTGTATGTGGAAATCATGTGTTCGACCTGACTCAGAACCCTAGATGGTGTATTGGTATCTACTGAACAGTCTGAGTACCGTAACTGAATGTGCTAACATCAATCATCCTATATCCCATCAATCCAGGATTATATTAGGCACAGAGTTTGGTTGACTAGCAACTACTAGTTATTAAGTCCAACTTGCACCACTTAATTAAGGCCCTAATATATAATATATAATATATATTATTAGGAAAATTTTACATTCTCCCACTTGGTGCAAGTACTAGCACAACATTCACCAAAGAACAAAACACACGAATCATAGTGGTATGTCCTCTATTTAATCAGAGTGAAGATCTTGCATTCATAGGAATCTTCAGGGGTAGAAATGGTGGGGTATGGGACGAGAAGTTGCCTAGGCCGAAGGATTCTTGGAGAATGGCGCAATCTGCGCTGCTTGCTTGGCGACAGGTCCATGGCGGTGCTTGTGTAGGATCATCACGCAATTTGGATGAGTTGCAGCGCTCCCATGCAAGCTAACTCTCAACAGAATTATTCATGCTATTTTGAGCAACGCACAAAGCCACTTATGGTATGATCCTCCTCTCATCCGCAAGGGTGTTTGTGGCAGCCGCAAACGGAGTATTGCCTACTTAGCTTGTACGTTATAAAGAGGCCCTATCTTAACTATAGTTCAGATTCACACTGATTGCTTTTCTCTATACCGCAATTTAACGTCTAGTTCCATTGATATTCACTATTATGTTGGGATCGCCAACAATGATTGTAGAAATATATTATTTAAGTTTTCAGCTTTATGTCTCATTAGTTTCTAAAAACACTAAAATACTCTTGCTCATACATTAGCTTCTAAAGCCTATACTCACGCTAGCTCGTTGTATTGTATTGGGACTTTGTTGCTACCCTTATGCAGTAATATACTATGATTTTATTTTCAAAAAAAAAAAAAAAAAGATAATATTTTAGTATGAATACCGAGTATAAGTGAATAACAAAAGATTTCACTTCATTCTGCTCTCCTCTACTGTACAAGCGCACAGAATTTTCCCCTCATCAAATCCCGTGTTAACAATGTCTGCACCACAGCAGTGGGCTTTCCCTTGGCTTTGCAGTTTTCCACTTTTCGCCAGAGGCAGATCATTTGCTTGGGGGATTGATTGTAATAGTCTTCGATGCATCCAAACTGGCACAACTTCAAGCTGTTGAACTTCTCTACCCACATTCCCATGCTCACATCCTCCGATCCATCTTGAACAACTGCAGCATGTCAAATGTGTTCAAGGATCAGTTTTTTCCTTTCCTTTTTATTCATCCTAAACTCTCAAGGGTCAGCGTTCCCTCGTTTCAAAATGTTTCCTCTCAATAATTTGCAGAAACTCCATTAATCGTTTCAGAAACTAGTAAACAAATAGTCAATTACAGTAATATTTAAAGAAAAAATATTTGCAAATACATGCTTATATTTTTAGACTAATGCCAGATACCCTACCCCTCCTATTTTTCCCCTCCAATCCATCCCTCATCATGTGACATCATTTAATTGGTTACTAAATTCCATTTTTAATTAGTGGTAGGTCAGCCAATTCACGGAAGCCACATCCGGAGTGGAGGGGAAATTCAGGAGGGATAAGAAGCATTTTCCTTTTTATATTTGTAAATTTCACTAGCGTTTTGTATCCTGTGTTTCCCTATTTCCCATTTTCATGTTACAAAGATTTAAACAGTATTGCCTTCATAATTCTCATGCTTTGTGGGATGGACAAACATGCAGATATACAAGTACAATCAATGAGGGGCGAGAGAAAAGAGGGAATGGATACAGGTAAAAGATATCATACCCTCAACTTATGTTGCTCAAAATCAGAGACAATGGACTCTGCAACGTCAGACGAGATGACATAACCAGGCCCATTCGCGTAGGGTGGGTAATCTTCTTCTGCCCATTCCTGCAACTCCCAAGAACAAAAAGTGAGGTAATAAACAGGTCAATTTAGGGCAAACTCCCAGCCACCCGTAAAGCAATTTAGGCCAATTTACAGTTCTGTAGAGAAAAACGTTTAGACAAAAACATTGAAGTATAGTGGCATGAGCATGTAACTCTAGGTAGGAGGATTAAAGTTCAACCTCTAGCCCCCTTGTATGTACCAAAAGAATCTAGTGAGTGATAGAGAAAAACAAAAATGTAAAAATTACGTCAATTTGTCCATAGGGACAGTAAGACAGTTAACTTTTGAACTCGAACATGATAAGAAACTAAAACACAAGCAAACTGTAGCACTTAAACTCAATTAAGAAAAGAAACAATAAACTCACAAGACTTTATCTTTATCTAATTTGAGATAGACACATAATTTTAGCTTGTCTTTTATTTGAAAAGGAAAAAGGAGGCCCATATAAAGTGAGAGAGGGGTTAATATGCATTTTTTTTGGATCACAAGGAAACCCGCAACCAAGAAAGCCAATAGACCGCTCCTGCTGAGAATCAAACTTGGAAGGAGAATATACTTTAAAAAATCAGAAAAAAAGGGGTAAGAAACACATAGAAGTTCACCAATCATCCAGCCATCCAAGGGATTGAAAATAGAGAAGGAATAAGTGCATACCTCATAGGTGACTGCCCATTTACCATTTTCCAGTGGCTTATGGTAGTAATTGATGTTCCAATATACAGGCTGCCATGACGAATTTTCTTAACTTCATTCATGACAGCATCTATCCGTACAAATGTGTCATCATCACACTTCATTATATACTTTGAAGCGACTGTAGGACCTGCAAAACTCCTGATAGGTCAGAAAGACTGCACGATGACATGACAACTTGAAAGTTCATTAGATGGTGGGAAGTCCAGAAAAGGACATGGAAGCTGACAAAAGTAAGTCTTACGAATAGCACGTGTTCTGCTCAATCACTGATATGAATAGCACTCGTCTAACATAGTTAGAGCCTACTCGTCTAACAAAAAATATCCAGTAAATATTTTTATTATCTGATGTGACAGTATATGAAGAGTAACCCCAACGAAGTTGGTCGAGCAGTTGACTCAAAACGCCCATTGGGGTAACAACGGCAGACTTTCCGATTAATCAAAGTATATGATTTGTATTTGATTAATAAACATATGCCTGAAGTGTGATCTCAAAATTTTGGTCATTGTAGCAATATCCAAGTAAATTTCGCTAGCTAGAACTGACAAAAAAGATTTATTGTCACGTCAAGAAACGAACACTAAGAGAAGAAATATGAACATAATCACTTTCACTTGGTAACCAACTCCAGATTAACAAGTGTGAATGTAACTCTTCCTAGATTGTAGGCTTTTCTGGCTCAAAAAGTCAACAAGAGCATCTCTTCAGCAAACCAAAAACTAGACCTCTAACATCATACATTCATACCTATTTTTCCTTCTTTTCTTCTTAGATGTTACATGACATAGACATAGACAAGTGTAAAAGACAGCAGCACTTATAATTCAGCCAAAAACTCCCAATAGAAACATGTGAAGTTAATATATATATACATTTGATCTCTTGCACTATAATTCAATAATTCATTGCCAATGCTAACTTCTACATTGTCTATCCCACAAGCCATTGCACTATATTATTACCATAGAATGAAACCATGATCTGAGTAGCATTGTGCACTTGAACTTATGGAAAGGATAGGAAGGACGAACCTTTGATAACGACAATAAGTTTTCCTTGTGTGCTAAAGCTACTCGACATCCTTGGCACCCGAGAATTCTCAAGGAGAAATGTAATATCTAGCACGAGGTGTTGTGGCAAACATGCGAAGTACATATGCCAACCAGAAGGTCTAGTAGTGGGGTTTAGGGTGTGTGCAGCTTGGTTCTAAGCATCGCCCCTTTTCAAGTTCCAACTCTGTTGTGATAACGTCTCCCTCCAATTGAAGCATCCCTAAAGAAACAGATTAAGGAAAGAGATTAGTTCAGCAAAGTTCATCACAAGCATGACAAATAAGACAGTTTGTCGTGAATCTATTGAAGAATGAAGATGCTATTGAGTATTATATACCTAACTATGCTGTCAAAAGGAAGAAACAATTCAAATTAAAATTGAAAAACAGGTGTGTGTGTGTGTGTGTGTGTGTAATCAAGTTACTGCCATCTGTGTCATGGATAGATAAAGCGTGCTGCAAGTTCGAAAGAAGAAAGATGAAATACAAAGAATCTTATATGAAAGATAACAATTTCTTGATATCAACTAAAGAATAAAGATGGTCGTTTTGACCTTGCAAGGAAATCTTGTGTGCAATAAGCTTCATGAGCATGTGATGGACCTTTGTTTACTAGCTATAGACCTAAAAGCTATTGCTCTTCATAGTTCATACATATGAAATAATATTAGAATATCATCAATGATCATGTTATAGTCTTATAGACGAGCAGCTGGTATATCAGTTAAAGTGAGAAGGGAAAAGGAAATGAAGACAATTCCAGTGGCAAAACCACAAAATTCAGTATATCAAGCATAGAACTTATGGATATAAACATTCAAAAAAAAAAAATATATATATATATATATAAGGTTTCAAGGCACAAGTTACATAAGATTTACCACATTTCTCATATCTCCAATCATGGCAGCCCAGTGGAGGAATCTGAATGCTCTGCACAAGAGCAAATAGGATTGAAAATGTTTCTTCAGAATATTCCAACACGAATTCAAAGATAAAATTATGTGACCCAGTCATTGGTCTTGTTTATGAGACACTTTTCTATTGCTTCATCACAGATCTGAAGAGCCCTGTCAAAATCCCCTTCCTCAAATCTCATATCTGCAAAGATGCAGTATAATTCTTTATCAGCAGACAAGCCCTCTCTTCTCATCTCTTCAAAAACTCCTTTTGCTTCAGAGAACTTTTTTCTCTTCAAGAAACCCTTAATGAGTGCATGATATGTATCAATTGTTGGTTTATATCCCTTCTCAACCATTTCTTTATGTAGATACCAGGCCTCCTTCATATTCCTCCCTTTGCAATGTCCTCGTATCAATATGTTATAGGTATTACCATCTGGCATAACTCCTTTACTACACATTCCCTTGCAAATTTCTGTGGCGACACGCATATTATTCCTAATGCAATATTGCTTCATTAGAGAATTGTAAGTGGTGGCATTTGGCATTATACCTTTCTCCACCATCCATCCCAGCAGTTTCTCACCCTCTTCCAGCATCCCAGAGGTACAAAACCCATTGATCAGAACATTAAATGTAACAATCGAGGGTTGAATCCTACTGCACAGCATATCACGCAAAAGATCATGAGCCTTGGCTATTTCTCCTGATTTACAATAAGCATCCATAAGAGTGGTATAGGTAAAAGTATCAGGCGGAATACCTGATGCTTCCATATCTTTCATCAGTTTTAATGCTTGCACAATATTTCCAGCTTTACAAAGACCATTAATAAGTGAATTGTAAGTATAAATGTTTAACTCAAGTCCCTTTCCACACATCTCCTGAAGAAGCTCAGTTGCCATATCAAGTTCCCCCTGTTTGCAAAGCCCATCAGCCAATGCAGTATAAGTGACAACATTTGGCACCAATCCCATCTGAACCATTTGGTTGTGAAGAGAAAAGGCAACCTGGACCTCACCCACTTTGCAGTGACCATCTATAAGTGTCGTGTAAGTAAACTCATCAGGTTCCAACCCACAGTCAAGCATATCATGCAGGAGCTTATATGCTTCTGCAACCTTTCCAGTTTGACACAGACCACAGATAAGGGCAGTATACGTTACCAAATCAGGAATGATGTTCAAACACTGCATTTCATTAAACAATCTGTATGCAGCAGTTACAACCCCAGCTTTGCAGAAGCCATCAATGAGAGTAGTGTAAACTACATTATCTGGGGTAATTCCCTGTGATATCATCTCCCTAAGGACCTCCTCTGCATATGATACTTTACCAGTCTTACACAAAAGAAGAATTATGCTGTTAAAAGTATGTTTGTTTGGTTTAAGTCCCTTTCCTTGCATCTCTTCTATGATCTTCAACACTGGTTCCAGTTCTTCAGCAGTACAGTACCCATTAATCACAGTGCTGTAACTTACAACATCAGGGATGCATCCCCTCAGTTCCATTTGCAGGAGTAGGTTATGGGCTTCTTTCACTCTTCCTATTCGGCAAAGTGAGTGAACCATTATGTTATGTGATTCAGTATCCCAAGAGACCCCCAAATTAGAAAATTCACTAAAAACCTTCAAAGCCATTCTGTGCCCACCATTGCTATTTGCTAGAGAGGAAAGATATAGGTTACATGAACAAACAGATAAAACTATACCATAATTCAATATCTTATCAAAAAGCTTCCTTGCATAGACTAAGAAGCCTACTTCAATAAGGACTTGGAAGAAAATGTCAAAAACATAAGGATTAGAACCCCAATCCTTGTAAGTGTATATTAGTTTTTCTAAAAAATGAACAAATGAAAGATTGATGTCTAAACTGGGTTTAATCCAAAACTCACGGATAAGCTCACGTGCCATCTTTGTATCTTCAGAAGACGTGGCAATGTGAACAACAAAACAACGGGCTTCAAGTGATGGGTTCCTACGTACGCACCACCAGTTATAAAAATCCAGAACTAGTTTGTAATCATTCCTTATGCTCATGAGAACCCAAACAAAATGATCAGACCTAATCTTCGACTCAAATGACTGTAAAGTACGATGAAGGGTCTCATAACGGCGTTGCTTAACAGTAATTGACACCTGATAGACAAGTTCAGTATCTCTTATGGAGGGCTTTTTTGGAGAATAATCAGGGAAGGGTCTGGTACTGGTTGGACGAGAAAGGTTTAACCTCTCAACCAAAGAATTACTTGAATAGCAGAAGATAAAGAGATGGTTCAGGGCAGAACCTAATTGTTCACGATAACACAATCGTCGAGGATTGCAATTCGGAAGAAGGATTGAACACCTCTTCATGTCTACGGGAGAGAGCTATTAGTTCAGATTGCAAACATCCATTCTTGCAAATGTAATGGCATCCCTCCATGTAGAAGAACAAATTCAGTCCATCACCTGTGAAACAACGATTACTCATAAGACTTCAAATCCAAATTCCAACCACGTGGAAAAATGAACAGCAACCATAAAAAGATAGGGGTGGAAATATGCCAGGCCGAGCCAAGCCTTGGCAAATTAGGCTTGGGCCTATAAGTAGGCTTTTTTAGGCCCAAGCTTGAGCCTACAATAGACCTGGCATGACCGCAAGTCTTTTTAATGCCTATTTAATTTGCAGGCCATTAAAACGGCTTCAAAGATAGGCTTTAAAGCACAGTTATTTTCCTCAACACAATCAAATACCATGAAACCAGAATATGTAAGAACTAAGAAGGATATATCCTTGAGCATACAGCTCTAATACTCCGTATTACATAGAAAGCATTAGCACCCAGTCCAAACTGAAAGAGAATTATCGGTGAAAGAAGTGAAAGGCTCAAACCATGTAGAACCATACAGTATACAACAAAATTCTGAACGCAACTAAATATCTTGGCAGGTTCAAGAATTTTCAGAATATCTTGATATGCCACCTATCAAGAAGGTCCTCTTAAGATACAATAACTAAACCCAGATTCATAAAAGAGAAATTAATTTTATTTAACTGCTTATTACTTGTCAACACAAACAACGAGCTCTCAGGGGAAAGCACAAGGTCAAATCATTTCTAATTTTTAGCTGCAGTATAAAATAAATAATTTAGAACAGCATAACTACCACCCACAACTCACATCTAGAATCAACACATTTGCCATGGGAGAGCATATGAATAGCACTTGAAATAACAAAAACTACAAACCCAAGGTGAACCCCAGCCGGACCACTGAATAGCTAAATCAAAGTTTTGAGCCTATTCCCACCCCTAATTTTATATCCCAAAATTAAAAAATTACACTTATGTAATGCGGCATTCACATTGTTTCACCTCCATTAACAAAAACACATGCCGAGCATTTCACCGAACAATTGTGGAGCAAACATCGTAATACAATTCAAGAGTGATAGCACAATGAAATTTCAAAAGCAGAATATAAAATACCACTTGAGTTTATATCCGTATGCAACCTCAACTACAACCGTTTACTCGTGAGATAGTTTTTTCCTGCGACAACAAGAGAGAGCGCCACCGTTGACGACAGTCGACAGTGACATGATCGATAATCCAGGTCGACGGGAGTTATGGAAGGTTAAAGAATATAGGTCCACAGTGCTTGGAATTAGGCCCATCAATGAACTGACCCATGTTCGTTAAGACCTAAATTTTAAGGCCCATTTTTGCACACATGGGGCTATGGGCTACAATTAAATTGAGGTCAGTATTTTTAAGATTTAAAAAAAAAATATTAAGCGAAATTTATAGTACAAATTTATATGTGTTATCAGCGTTAATATGTTGATTAATCATTAGAGCATTCCTAATTGAAGTGTTTAAGGTTTTTTGCACATATATGGAAGATAGAGAAATAATTTGGAGAAATAAGGAGGGAAAAAAGAAATTGCACTATAATTTTTTGGGGGGTTGAGGATGAGAAAGGGAAAAAAAAAAAAAAAAAAAAAAAGTAATGTCTGGTGAGCGTGTAACACACCGAGCGCGTTAATAATACAATTTTCTTTTATTTTTTTATAGTCTTTTTCTCTTTCTTTTCGACCCCTCTTTTTCTCTTCTCTTTTCATTCTATGTGGCCCGCAAAAGTTGAGCAAAAAACTCTCACTCTTAGGCCCCGTTCGCATAAAATATTTAAAAGGAAATGGAATTGAAATTCTATGAAAAAGAAATTACCATGAAGATTGATTTCATTATTTGGTGGATGGAAAAGAAATTACTAGGAATATTGATTCCGTTGTTCGGTTGGGGTTGAATGGTAAGGAATATAATGAGTTTAAAGACTAAAATATCCCTATAAAGACTAAAATATCCCTACACTGATACTGATAATAAAAGTAATAATGACAAATTTATCCAACCAAGCAACCATGTGATATTTTCTTCCCAACTTCCATGGAAAACAAAATACCGCTCTTCCCCATGGAAAGCTTTTTCCACAAAACTAAGGAAAACATTTTACTGTGGAAAAAGTTTTCCATGAACCAAACAAAGAAAAATTCCATTTTCCCTTTTCCATCCAATCAAACATGCTCTTAGGGATGCTCTTAGTTCTGTTAAGTGACCCGGGGTCTAAGGGTGCATAGCCCAAGGCCTAAGAAGATATCCCGAGCGGCCAGGGTCCAAGACCCGGAGCAAGTCTCCGGGGCCCAGAATGATGGGCCTTAACTTAGCCTCGCAGGCCCACTGCGTGAGCCTCGACTTAGTCTTGTGGCCTACCAAGACTTGGTGTTTGTTGGCCAATGTCTTGTATAAATATTGCATTGTCTTTGGCATTACAAATCATGTTCAATTACATCTCAAATCCACTTGTAATCTCATTACACTCTTCATTAATACAAGTCTTGTCTTCTCAAGCTCAATATCTTGTCTTTATTACTTATTTCTTTATAATCGGATTATTTGATTCGGCCAACCGGAATTAATTTAATCCATCATTGGTGCTCTCGTTGAGAGCTCGACATGCTCGAGCATGTTACTTAATCAACATTTCATGCGAACCAACACTTCAACAGTGGTGAGATCCCGTTCCACTGATCACATTTCGGCTACATTGCACCAACGCATTGAACTTAAGCTCAATCATAGATCAGCACATCCACATTGCATGTTGGCATGGCTTCAATTTCAAACATTGCATGTCGCTGAAGACACAAGAAAGCCACCAGAATTCCTCCACACCTACAGATCTCTATCCTCGCGACCATAAAACCAGCACTGGTCGCGGGGTATGAAATTCCGACGCATAAGTTTTTCCGATCTTCATTGAAGGATTGTCGCGGATGCAATCCACTGTTGCAGTGGCATCGCAAACCCCAATGCCACCTACGATCTCCCGTGCGCTAGAGCGAACACGCGGATGGTAAATATCAGGAAAATCACGATCCGATCCCTTTCAGAGGATCTTCGCCTTCCCCAGACTTCAAGGCGAGAGTCACGGCCACCGCCACCAAGATGTAGATCATCTCTACACTGGCTTAAAGGAAGAAGAATCGCCTCCGGAATCTGTTAGCGAATGCCATGGAGACTCTCACCGTAAGCGCACCTGGCGACGATGGAGGAAAAAAAGAACAATGTTAAGAACATAGGGAGGCTCTCATTTCACAAGTCGTTGTTTCTCAGGGCAATATCCACTGAGTTCTAGCGTCCAATCTCCCGTTCTTTAATGGCGAACCCTTTTATCGTCTTGTCCGGCCATACCTTCGAGCATCATTGTGTTGATGCTTGCAAATCCATGTCTTATGCGTCGGTTTTGCAAGATGGGTCGTGGTATGGTTCCTCCGCCGTCATCCCGAATTTGGCACTCAGGTCTGCCATTGCAACTGTTGATCACAGCGACCGGAGCTTCTTTTTACTTGCGCATGATCCATGGAATTTCGTCGTATAGACTATTTCCCAACTCTCTGTATGCAAGTTGCACGTTGTTATACTTGTTGGCACTCAAGTCTGCCAATCTAAACTAGTATGAGTCTTTTCTTCTGGAATCTCCGACTCTTATTCTTTGTCGGTTGGGAAGCTCATGCGTGCACTCATGGATTCTCAGAACCGTAAATCCCGAACGGAGAAACAGGCTCAGCGGCGTTGTGATGGTAGTTATCGCGAGGTTTTGAAGGAGTTTCAGTGGGTCGCATGCGGTGGGTAACCAGATGCCGAGTCTTGTATCAGATCAGCTGATTCAGTTATAGGAGATGAAATAATGCTTTGGAAATCGCAGACACGATGATTTGATGGAAGGAAATAAACTCCACTAAAAAATTTATATTGATATTACTACGCAGTAAGGTACATATATTTAAACTTCAAACTCTTAGCTATGTTTTAGTCGTTTATATGGATGGAAATGGGTGGAAAATTATAATAGTTTCTCTTGTTAGCATGAGAATGGTTACGAGGAAAAATTGATGAAGAAAAATAGACCTCTATCCTATCAATAATTTTTCATTCACAAGATGGGAGAAAATTATCAATCTATTCCACACTATACACAAGACTACCTCTCTCTCCCTCTCAAGACTCAATACTCCACCTCCATTTTTCATTTTTCTCCCTCTCCTTTTCCTTTCATTTTCTTTATGATGGACCCAAACACAAATTTTCTTCTACGTTTTCTTTACTCTCCTTTTTTTTCCCACAGTTTTCTATCCCTCTAAACATAGCATTAGAACCATAATTTACTTATTTACCACACTGGTCACTGGATAAAGAAAACCTGCAGCCATACTGCCATAGAAAGCAGGCAGATATTTATGTGCATACTCCAGCAAATTAAGAATAAAATTATGAATATGATGAAAACATATATACCTTTTAACTACAAATAGAGACCTTTCTATGTCTTTCCGACTCTGCATTGAAATCAAACACCAAATATAAGAGATACAGACACTCTGCTTTAGCAATATAAAGAAAGAGATATCTTCATAACCAAATATTTGCATATCATATGTTAAGGTGGTCCAATTTCTGGCAACTTATGATATCCATACCTTACAAATAATAAGAATGTATGTAACATCAACCAACAATACGCATTTGATAACACACATTAAAGAAGCATTGTATTTGTGCATATATTAAAATAATTACAGAAGAGCTTAAAGTAAGTTCATCGGCACCCGGCAGCTCACACGACAGGCCGCGGTCACGACTGTCACAACCGCAGGCCCAGGCCGCGGTCGCTGGCGCCATCACCGGAGGAATGCAGTGGATGAGGAGTTACCTGATGAGTCGCTAGAGCTTGTCTCGGAGGAATGCAGAGGACGGCAAGGTGATTTGGTTGAGAGGACGGTGAGGTGAGGTGAGGTGAGGTGAGGTGAGGACTTAGGGTTAGGGGAAGAGAAACTTTGAACTTTTAAACATCAGGTTCAAAATAAAAAAATTTAAAATAGCAATGGAATGTGAATCCGTGACTAAACTAAATTAAACTTCTAATCGTGAATAATTTAGCAACGGAAATTCTAATCTGTCTCTAAAATTAGGATGAGAACTGATTGTATTGGATAAGAAGTTCTAAACAGACTCATATACATAGAGTCCTAATACTCCCCCTCAAGCACAGTGTATACTAGTAATCTGTAGCTTGTCCCTTAAGGATGAAAATCTAGGTCCAGGCAGAGCTTTGGTGAAGATATCAGCAAGTTGATCTTTTGTGGAGATGAAGTTGACTTGGATATCGCCCGAAGCTACTCGATCACGAACAAAATAATAATCAATCTCCACATGCTTGGTGCGCGCATGAAAGATTGCATTGGCACTCATATATGTATCTCCTAGATTATCACACCATAATTTTGGAATGGAAATACCCAGAATCTGTATCTCACGCAGTAATGACATAATCCATAAAACCTCAGCACAAACATCTGCAAGAGCTTTGTATTCAGCCTCAATGGATGACCTGGCAACAGTTCTCTGTTTCTTGCAAACCCATGATATAAGATTACTCCCCAAGAAAACAGCAAAACCACTCGTGGATTTTTGATCGTCAGGACAACCAGCCCAATCAGAATTAGAGAAAGCATGAATGTCTCTAGATGAGCACCGTCGTACGCGTAAACCATGATCAATTGTTCCCTTAACATCCTGAGTACCCGTTTGAGCTGCTCCCAGTGTGATATGGTGGGAGCATGCATATGCTGGCATAACTGATTAAATGCAAAGGATAGGTCAGGTCGTGTGACAGTGAGATATTGCAGTGCTCCAGCTAGACTCCTGTACTGTGTGGGATCATCATATAGATCTGAATTGAAGGGGACAGTTTTTGAGACAGAGATAGGTGTAGAAAGGGGTTTGCATTCAGACGTTCCAGCCCGTTTTAAAATATCATTCATATACCGTTGTTGAGATAAAGTAATCTCATTGTCACTCTTAACTGTTTCAATACCCAGAAAGAAATTTGGTTCACCAAGATCTCTGATTTTGAATGTAGCAGACAGTTTGGACAAGAGCTGAGACATAATACCCTGATCACTTCCCATTACAAGAATGTCATCCACGTACACCAATAGATAAACCAAAGCAGAGTCTTTAGAGTAATAGAACAGAGAGACATCTGTCTTGGATGCTTGAAAGCCAACCGATAGTAAGAACGTA